TATCTGTTTGCTTAGTTATTTATGAATAAAGTTTTTCTAGATGAATGAATTCACTTATCAAATTTGTTTTCAGTTCAAGTTAGCTTGGTTCGTGCTCTAGGTATCTAATAGCCAACTAAATCTGAGGATAAAGGCATAATTACAAAAATAACAACAGGTTTATCAGGAAGTGAGTCATTAACAAAATTTGCATAAAAATTGTAAATCATGATGGTCTCATACCCGTAGAAACAGGTTGTTTGCTCGGATACTTTATGTTATCATAGTCACAGGTAGTTTGTTGCTAGGATCGTAGGAATATGGAACAACGGCAGTTTTATAGATGCATGTAAGGTTATTAGGCACTGTAATGTGCAATCAAGTAAGACTGAAACCAATGATATCCCCTTGTTCGAACACCTCGCTGTAATCCATAAGCCTCAGAAGGAAATCAAACGTCTTAAGGATAAATGATATTCTGTTTGGTGAGGTTGTTCGAGAGTACACAGCTGATTGGATATTATATATCTCGGTTAGGAGGCTGTAACAACTTAGGTTGGTTGGTTAAGAGTTCACCTCAAACAACTAAGCATATGTCAATACAGTATAGTTCAAGTATTCACTCACCTTATTCTGTATAGGCGTTATATTTTCTATTATCCTATATTGAATATTGAGAGGCTTCGTTTGTCTTAACAAATAATCCCACGCTCGAATGTGACTGAGCGATCCAAATAAAGACTTATTCACGACTTCTCTGGTTTCTTCTATCAATAGCACGAGGGTTACCCAGAGTCACGAAACTGGTGAGCCCTATTAAACACTAATTTAATCTCATTTTTGTTATTAATATTATTTTCTTTACTTAGTCGCAAACGTAGACCCTCTGGTTATCCGTAAACCAAGTTGGGTATATACATAGTTTATTTTTTTAACTAAAGCTATTCGTGTTGTAGTAACCATTTTTCGTGCTTATTTCGGTACTATATTGGTCATATACCTCATGTCAGACTCAATACAAACCCAAAACCTGGAGGACTTGTCACCAGTAGAGATAGACACTGTTATGACTACGAAATCCCGACTTCCAGAATTTGATCCTAGTGATCCTGAGTTGTATTTTGCTCAACTAGAGCATTATTTCACGAGGTACAATATCAAATCTGAAGGAATTCGCTATAGAGACTTGTTTTATCCTTCCTCCTTCAGTCGCCAAAGAAGTCCGTGACTTGATTTTAAGTCCACCATCGCCACAACCATACACCATCTTAAGACGAGAGATAATGAACCGTTTATTATTATCAGACAGTCAAAGAATCCAAAGGCTTTTCCAAGGAGAAACACTAGGTGATAGGTCTCCGTGGGTGAAGCAGTCCTAAAACAAGGATGGATACAAGCTCTCCCATGCTACATCCAACACTGTTTCGATGCACAAAATTCTGGAACATCCTTATCTCATTTAGCACGTATAGCCGATAAAATAATGGAAAGAGGTCCTCCAACTGGATAAAGCACGATAAATCACACACAAAAAGAAGAACCAGCAAAAGACCCAGTCACAGAAGGAATCATTGCGAGTGTTAAAAGTCTCTCAAGTCTGGCTGTCGCCAGAATCAAATGGGTCATAGAAACAGGAGTAGGTCACCACAACGACCAAGATCCAAGTCGCAAGATAGGTCAAAAAGTTCCAGACGATCTGGGCAGTCCTTATTGCAACCTTTGACCTAACCACTCCTATGAATCCGGTGTTCATCTTGTTGTGCTAATGAGGTATGGCAACCTGGACCGATGCACATATGCGCCTGGTCCTACGTTGTAGTTGACTGACTGGGAATTTGGTGTCAACTCAACCAAGTCCATGCAACCATGCGCCGTGCCCAAGCAAAATTCCAAGAAAGCGGGAAACGAGTAAGACCTCCCCAGGTCGCGACGACTGAGGAGGGGCGCCTAAACAGTCGCTTGAATTTCTTGGTAGATACTGGCGCTGCTCTTAGTATCATCCCTCAAAATAAAACTGAGCTGAGCCGAGAAACATCTCCAATTACACTTCAAGCTGCCAATAAAACTAAGATCGCGACATTTGGGCAGAAAACTTTAACACTAGATTTGAGATTCAGTAGGCAATTCCCCTGGGTTTTCACTGTAGCCGATTTAGATCTGGCAATACTGGGGATGGACTTTCTAGAGAGATACGAATTTCTAGTTGACACCAAGAAACGGCGCTTAACACTGAAAGAAACTTCGAATTACACAAAAGGCAGAGAAAGTCACATCACATCTCTTAACTTGATTCAAACTCCTGCAGTAACAACAGAGAAATTCCAAGATATACTCGCGGAATTTCCAAACTTAACTACACTAAACCCACAGCCTTCTAAAGAAAAACTAAAGGTAAGTCATACTATCAAAACCGAAGGTGCACCCGTGTTCGCAAAACCCAGGAGACTAGCACCAGATAAGCTCAAAGTCGCCGGGGCCAAATTTGACTATATACTACAACTGGGTACTATCTGTCCCTCTGATAGTCAATGGGCATCCTCTTTGCATATGGTCCCAATGAAGAATGAAGGCGAATGGCGACCGTACGGGGATCGCAGAGCCCTCAACCGTCAAACCGTACCAAATAAGTACCCAATACCGCATATCCAAGATTTCACAAACGGTTTACAGGGTATGAACATATCTACTAAAATTGACTTAGGGCATATCACAATATCCCGGTGGCTGATGAAGATATCCCCAAGACAGCTGTTACTACACATTTTGGCTTGTTCGAGTTTGTACGCATGCCATTCGGCTTGAGAAATGCGGCACAAACATTTCAGATTCATGGATAACCTACTTCGAGATATGCCATTTGCACGAGGGTATATAGACGATTTATTAATTGCCAGCCCCGATTTAAAATCACACGAACAGCATGTACGAGCAGTGTTAAAAAGATTGGATGAATATGGAATGAACACACATCAAAGTGTGTTTTCGGTGTTCGAACTCTAGAATTTCTCTGTCACACAATAAGCCCAGAAGGGATTACACCGATCAAAGAAGAAGTGGACACCATCAAACAATACCCCATACCTAGTTCTCTAACACAACTGAGGAATTTTTCTAGGTCTAATTAACTTTTATCGTAGATCTATACCCGGTTGAGCACAATTAATGCAACTTTTGACAGATTCATTTAAAGGAAAACCAAAAGAATTCAAACTGTCTTCTGACGCCGTCGAAGCTATTAAACAGCTTAAAGATAAACTGGCTCAGGCAACTGCGTTGATGTATCCGAATTCGCTTTCCCCACTTGCTTTGGTGGTGGATGCTTCAGATAAAGCAGTAGGCGGTACCCTTAACCAACTGAAAACCAATTGATTTCTCCTCGAAAAGACTCACTGCAGCAGAGATAAGGTATTCTATCTTCGGGCGAGAACTTCTTGCAATCTACCTGACCATTAAACACTTACGACATATGATAGCAGGCAAGGAATTTATAGTCTTTACGGATCACAAACCACTAATTAATGCATTAAAAGCGAGAGCTGATAAATACTCACCTCGGGAGGTCCGACACCTTGACTATATATCACAGCTCACAAGTGATACCCGACATGTCAAAGGTCAGGACAATCAGGCAGCAGATGCTTTATCTAGACTAGAAACGAACGTGCTACAGCAGTCTACAGTAAACTTCGAGACGTTGAGACACGAACAAGAACAGGATCTAGAATTACAAAACCCACTTAAAACAAACAATTCAAGTCTTAACTTAAAACAGTTCCCATCACCTATCGATGGTATTCTAATTTTCTGTGACACGACCAAGGCAATGCCGCGACCTTTCGTTCCCAAAAATATGCGAAAGTTGATATATAATAACTTTCATTCTTTGTCTCATCCTGGCGCAAAAGCTTCAACTAAGATAATCAATGCCAGATATATATGGCCGAATTAACAGATGGATGTACATAAGTGGGTTAGCGAGTGTTCAGCATGCGAACAATCGAAGGTTAATCGTCACACAAATTCACCCATATGTGTTTTCTCGCAACCAGATGCACGATTTGCCCATGTGCATATCGACTAAGTAGGCCCTTTACCACGTTCGAACGATTTACCAGATTCCCTATAGCCATCCCCAAAGCGGACATCACAGCGGAAACAGTAGCCAAGGTTTTCATGCAGTACTGGATAATCATTTTTGGTACGCCCATAACAATAACGACGGATAGAGGAGCGCAATTTGAATCCGAACTATTTAATAACTTGGCCAAACTTCTAGGCTCCAAAAGGATACGCTGCACTGCATATCAACCTCAGGCTAATGGGCTGGTAGAACGTTTTCACCGTCAGCTAAAAAGCGCCATTATATCTCACTAAAACCCCAATCAGTCGACAGAATTCGTACAGTTAGTTATGTTGGGAATATGAAGATCTGTCAAAACTGACACGCATTGTTCAGCTGCGGAACTGGTTTTCGGAACAACTCTGAGACTATCAGGTGAATTTATTAACCCTGACACTAACAGTCAAAAACTTAATTTAGAATATTACCTAGATCGACCGCGGGATTATATGTCCAAACTTAAGCCAAATAACACTTGTGAATAATCGCGCGCCATATATGTACCTAAAGACCTAAGCAATTGCATGCACGTCTGAATAAGATGTGACAAAATAAAAGCACCACTTAGCACTCCATTTGAAGGTCTGTGGTGGTCGGTATTCAATATATGCAATAATATGGAACAGTCTTCCCTCCGAGACTCGCATGGCAGATGAACTACATACGTTTGTGAAACTGCTTGATCAAGCCCTCACTCGCACTGATCT